GTTTTGCATGTTTTTCAAATATGATTAGTTTTAAAAGAATTTCGTCTTATACATTATCGAAGAAAAAGACGTGCCCGCTCCTCCTCTTTCGATTGGTGAAAACCGCAGGTAGCTAGATATTGCGGTTGTCGAGTTATTGAGCTTACACTCACCCCTCTTTTATTCTGGCGCAGACATTAATTAATACTTTGTAATACTCATCATTTTAAAATAGGTTTAGTTTGAAATGCTTTATAAACGCGATACCGATATGAAATAAAAGTCTAGAAATTTTCTAAACTTGACTTTGAATACTAATGCCATTTGAGACCATTAGAGCTCATCAGGTCTAAAGCTTACGGTCTGAAATCAATCCGAGGGCTCTGGAGACACAGTAGGATTACATTCTTGAAAAAGTATTTTTATCCATCCATTTTGTATAACACAGAAATTCATCTGAATTATCGATAGCAAACGATGCTAATTTTATCTTTCTCAATAATAAATGTAATTTAAGAAAGAAAAACTTATATTAAATTAATTTCCTTTTTCCACTTCGTTAGCAATAACACCAATAATTCTTTTTTTTTTCTTTATCTACTCAGATATAATCATATTGTTTATATCTCAGTATTTTTAGACTTAATTTTCAAGCATGCACAGATCGCTATTCACACAATGTATGCCTTAATCTAGGTTTTTTCTTCTTATTCTATCTTGAGTCAATAAATAAGTATTGTAGACATGTGTAAAACGTTTTGAGTACTAAGGATTTATTTAATAATAACGAGAACAATTTTACGTTTACTATCAGAAACTAATTGAAAATTTCATATGAGTGATACTTTTATTCTTGAAATTTTGTCAATCTCAACTAATAATTTTTTTCATTACCATTATAGTAAAAGTATCTATAAGATTTCAAAGGTTTAAAATAGCTTCTGTATATTATTTTTTGAGAAGATATTTGCTAAATTTTCTTCGATTTGTAATTTCAACCTTTAAATGCTCAACATAATATGAAAAGTTTGAAAGAATAAAAATTGCAAAGTGAAACAATAATAAATTAGTTGTTAACTGTAAAAATAAAACAATAACAAAAAAGACAAATATTATAACAATAAATTGACTACTTATAATCATTTTATTCATAATAGATAATTTTTGTAAACAGAAGTAAATTCAATCTAAACTATTAGATATTTTTAAAAAACCTTTTCATAGTTTTAAATTTATGAGCAAAGATTAGTCGCTATTTACTGATTATAAATATTGAAGCCATGAATGCCAAAGTATACAACAAGACAATCAGCAATGTATCCGACGAGTGAATTGAAGCATATAACTATTTGCGATTTGTTTTGTATTTACTCTACGTCAGATGACACGAAAGACCTTGAAATAAAGATGACTCGGCCGAGGTTATGACACCCCGATTCAAGAAAACTTCTTGCTTTTTTTCCTAAGCGGAACCAAAAATTTTTTCGCGCATTATCTTAGGAAAAAATCTTTATGTGCCACCGTATAAGTTACTAAACATTCAAAAGTTCTTCACCCTATTATATATTACAATCTGATAGGTTGTTTTATAAGTCATTCGAGATACTCACGTATAAGTCATCTTTCCTAAGTTATCAAATAGCTTTCTCACACCGAGATTTGAACAAAATGCCTATGCAACATGTATCCAACAGTTAATTATGTTCTCAACAACAGATAATGATTTGGTTAGAACAAAAGACAAGCTTATAACACAGCACATTTGTTATCTGGCTTCAACATGACGCATCACTGCTTTTTTTTTTTTTTTTCATTGAACAGAACGACCTATTCTACATAAGTCTGCTGCGTGATATCTTTCTTTTATCATTTTTTTCTTGTTTGTTCGTTCTTTGTATCGAGCACACATATGCATCGTCCATATGTTCTTCTCTATTCTTCTTAACCGTTCAAGTACATTCCAGTACATTCTGTCCGTTATCGATTCTACTCTTAAACGTTCTCTTCCCGTTCATTATTCTTCCAGCATATTCTTTCTTTATAACGCTATATAAATCTAATGTTGTTCATTTGATTCATTATTCTAAAAAATTCTTTTAATAGATAAAACTGTTTCTTAACATTCAGAAAAAATTATAACATTGATGTTAGAATAAATGACTATTAGTTAACACGCGATCCATTTCCTTTTCACAACTGTAATTGATATTTTTACATACGTATATGCGTTTATCTAAATCCTAATAATTATATTTATATGAACCAGAATTCATTATATTTTTCAATTTAGGTAAGAACAATTTTATTTACCTAAATGTCTCTGAATTTGAAGTGCATTTATATTACTTTTTGCTAAGTGTTTCTATTTATATAAAGCATTGTTCTTTTTTTATTTGTCTTCGAGGTAACAGGTCTTCTCCGCTTTCTTTTTTTTTTTTTTTACTAAAATCGATTGTGACGCTTTTAAATTTTGCGTCATCATTACACATTATTATTCATATAGACGATGATGATGTTTATGAGCAAGCGTGTGATGAAAAATAAGTTATTAATGAATGAATATGTATTCTAAATTTAAATTATTATGACAAAAGTACTAAGATTTGTTCGGAAATAAAAATACTATATAATAAGAACTTGTTTTCTACTTTGTTTGCGTATGTTCGATGAAAAAAGATATTAATCGGATATAGAAAGACAATTTTTAGATATAATTACAGTCTTAAACAAGTACTTCGTCTCTAGCGAAAAAGGATGATATAACGTTATATATTATATATATATATAGATCAACATACTAGAAATAATTTATTGAGTATGATAAGACAATAATTATTTGTATGAATTGCATGTTAAATGGTTATTTATTTTGAATAAATAAAAAAATTATATATATATACACTGATCGAATCAATCCTTTTCTTTTATGTACGTCAAAGTCCAATGAGTTTTCCTTGACTTGAAGGATAATGATGATGAGATGACTTTTATCTTCATTTGATTTTTTTAAGACAAAGACAATAATGTGACGCATATATATATATTAAAAAGAAAATAAATGACAAGTGAGACACTCATATTTTAGAATATTTTCATGAAAAAAAAAATTATTATTTCGAAACATTAAACATTTGAATAAAGTTTAAACTTCTTTTCATATTCATAGGGGGAAAAAAAAAAAACATTTTTTATTGTTTTTTTTTCTCTTGTGATGTCGCATATAAAATAAAACTACCGAAATACATCAGAAGATGTCGTCGTTGATGTATTATGTCTTTTATTTTTCATCCAATCATAATTCATCAAAGCACACACACGCATATATATATCACCTTCTTTCTTTTTCTCGAAAAAATCGAAACGAACCTTTTTTTCTTCTTTCCTGCTTTTATTTCTTTCTTAATGACACAGTGAGAAAGAAAAAGACACAAACATTCAAACATATATACGCACACAATAACCTCCAGATTTTTTCGAACGACTTTATTTGTTTTTACTCATAAAAAGAAAAAAAAGAATTCTAGGTATTGGGCTTTTTTTCCTCTTAATTATGCAATAACTCAAATATACCCACAAACATGTGTCATATATATATATATTTTTTTAGAAGTTACTAATAAAAAATTTGACATCATTTGATATCCACTCGAATTTACTTTTTTAACAATGCATGTTTCATCTATTTATTTAACATCGGAACAAATTGATAAATTACGACGTGTATTAACACCAACAATACCTATTTATCCATCACCACCAACATCTTCATTTCCAACATTACATATAACACCAAAAGATTTTCTACGAGATGTATTATTAAAATTACATAAACATTCAATTGATATAACAGCTGTACGTTTACATGGTGGTGCAGCATCTTATGTACTTGTAAATGATTCAGATTTTGTTTATCGTGATATTGATATATTATTTCTTATTAAAACATCATTATCATCACAACAACAAACAACATTATTTTCATCAAATAATCAACCATATTTATGTGATGTATGGACAATAATTAAATATATAATATCATCATGTTTAATTGAACATATACCAAATGCCTCAACATGTACACAATATTTTATATCATCTGTACTTGATACATATACAAAAAAAAATATAAAAATATGTTCTGAACAAGATTCATGGGCATTATTATCATTACAAAATTTATTAGGACAAAATCTTGAATTAAAATTTGTTGAAAATCTTAAACGACAATGGCAATTTAGTGTTGATTCATTTCAAATTGATATTAAACCATTATTATTTGAAAAATCTATTCAACAATCATTTAAAACTGGATCAATAACAACAAAAATTCAAACAAATAGTTTAGTTATTGATGCTATTAATAGTGTTACTATTCTTAAAAATAATAATCATACGGAACAAAATACAAGTACAAGTCCATTACAATTTGGATTTTTTTCACCATCATCTTTACCAAATATTAATGAAAATGATAATTCTATACAATGTCAAACACTTGCAACAATAACAACAATTCAAACATCAAAAAATCATAATAGTATGTTGTTTAAATTAATAAGTTTAGAATTATTTAGATTATTTTTCAAATTTCGATAGTCTCTACTTGTTCAGAAGATAGTTAATCTAGAGTATAAAATAATTTATTCATTTTTTAAGACAACTGGTTAGAAACAAAAGTTTGTCGTGCAAAATGAAATAGAAAACTCAGTACCACTGTTTTACACTACGAAATTGAACAGTTTCAATTGAAATACGAGAGTATACATATTTGAAATAAACCAACAATAAGTGGATATTTTATGCTGAGATTTATGCGCCATATGTTATAAAGAACGTAATTTTTACTTTATTGCGATGTGAGAAGAAAAAAGTTATTTTAGTTAATCACGTTCTTTTCTCTTTGTCACGTGTAATTCTTAACCTCGAAATCGTAGAAATTTTTTGGAGATATAAAAAGTGAAGAAAATAGACTTTGAATTGAGATTTAGAGGATTATGTTTTGTTGGTTGTAAACTCGTGCTAATATCAAGGTTTTATTTTTTGAATTCATGTTCAAACAAGTATTTGTTTCTGATATTAGTCGATTAATAATCAATTTCTGACGTCACTCTAATAATATTTTTTCATTTATTTTTGGTTTTATGAATAATAGAATCTTCCTTCTAATACGCATTTGATAAATTGTTTTTTTTTTTTCTCAAGCCTCTAGTATTAATAATATCTGCCCTATCGATTATTACTACGTTTTTTGAAAGGCGAATCAAAATGAATCTTTAAGTATACAGCGAAGGATTTATCTGTCACGCCCCTTTCATATAAAGTGTAACTGACGTTTTCGTTAGCAATTAGCCATTACAGTTCGGGATTCCCTCGAAGATGAAATTGATTATATATCATCATAAATAACCATAAGACTAACCACAAAATTTCTACAATATAATATTAATCTGATAAATTTGTTAGAGTATCAAGAATATTAAATTTAGTTTTGTTAAATATATGTTTCTATTAATAATATTAGTTATATCATGTATCACATTCTAATCTGAGAAAGATTACGTCTAACAACTTTGTTTTTTGCTTTTCTCGATCTAATCTAATAAAGATAAAATAATTATAATATTATGTTTAATGTTATCTTTAGCATCATCTGAATCTCGTTCACGTTCATTAAATCCATCGGAATCAACAATCGATGATAATGATTCAAATTCTTCACTTCAATTTCAACTTTCAATTAATGAAGATGTTGATGATGGAATTGAAGCTGATGCTGATGATTCTCCAAATGAAGATGATGATCAAGTATTTCATACACCAATTAATAAAGATAATAATACATCAACAACTGAAATCTCATTATCATCATCAACAAATTTAATTGGAGTTTTTTCTGTTTATAAAGATTTACATCAAGCACTTCATCATTTAAATAATAAATTAATAGCTACATATGAACCTGAAACAATGCGTGGTGGTGGTTTATTAGTAAGTGTTTTTTTTTTAATTAATTTTTATATAAATTTTGTTTTTCTTAATAGAAATATTGTGATCTCTTAGCACGAAATTATAAACTTTATGATGTTGCTATTATGATTCATATGCAACGATATATGTGTTCAAGATTTTTTATTGATTATAAAACAATTCCAGAACAAATACATGTTATTGCACAATATGTAGCAACACATTTTTTACCATCAACAATAATAAGTAATTTACACATAACAAATAATATAAATGAAATTTTACAACGTCGTTATTATCAACAAAATCAATTAATGAATTCGAAATATGATTCAAAACAAATTGATGAAAATGATTTAATTAATGCACGTTTATGTTTATTATTTTTTGAACATTTAGCAGCAGTTATACAACAAAGTACTGTTTGTTTAACACATGAAGATAGAGAATTATTATTTATTAATATAACTTATCTGAAAGACTCTTATCATTATGAATATGAACATTTATTTATGGGTGATCAGCAACATATTCAAAAATATCATACATATATTCATCATCATCATTGTATAAATTCATCTTCAAATTCAAGTCGATCGGTATGGAAATTTTTCTATTAATCAAACTTCGAATTTTTTTTTGTTTTTTACATTGATTAAGTGTTAGTGAAATTAGGAAAACCTTAAATTATATATTACCCATTTAAAATTATAAATGTTTTAAGTAGATTCCGAACTACGTCGTTGTAGTTTATCTAGAATTTCAATTCCGGAAGAACAAATATTTTTTTCGAAAAGTCAACACGATCTTCGGAGGCGTGCAATCCTTATGTTAGATAAAAAAAAAAAACATTGCAGTGAAATATTTATGGAAAACTTAATTATGAGATTTTCATCTAAAATCTTGCTCATAGATATATCTTACAACCATTAGAATATCCTGAAAGTTTTCCTATAACATATGATCTGACATTAAGGTATCCCTCTTCCGGAACCTCCTCAATCCGATTCACCATACAACGACATTGTCTGCTTATTTTTTTTTTGTTTTGTTTTACTTTCTACTAGAGTAGTTTTTCATCATATTATAGCCTATAGTATATTAACAAGATAAATTTGTTGCATTTTTATTGATCCCATAATTATAATTTGTTATCCTTCGAAAATTATCCAATCAGTTATTTTTGCAAATTCTTGAATGGTAGTTTTGAATTAAAATATTCTTTATGATATATATGATTCATATGTTTTATTTTATTGTGGCTTAACAATAAACAATGTGTTTTTTTAGCCTTACGGAAAATTTTTAATATAATTTTAAAATAATTCATTGTTCAATATAGCATTAGCAATAGAACTACAGAATGCAAATAGATATTCAATTTGAATAGATGTTTCATACTGAAAAATTATTTTGCATTTTTTTTCTCTATATACACAGATTACAGATAGACTTTCTTATCCTATATCATTCATACATCGAGAGTTGTCTATAAAAAATAGCTTGTTAGCGCGGCTAAAATGTGGAACTCACACATTTCATATATGCAATAAACTTGGACTTCGATTGCTATGGTCTGTAATGGAGAAAGGAGGCAGCCGGAAAACTTGAACTTAAAACCTACATTCACTAGTTTCTTTGAAAATATATGTGAGTTTCACAAAATTGTTTTAAAGAGTTTGAATTGATAGGAATCGATTACATATGACTTAAGTTAAATACCATTGTTTCACTATAAATATCAGTAGTGAAAAATTTAACCATAGTCAAAGCAACAAACAAAGATAATGAAATTAAATTTCACTCTATACACACAGATATGACGTGAAAGAATTGTCAATAGATTTATTCAGATCTATAACTAGACTGTCTCTATACTTTTAAAACAAACTTTTTATACGATGCTCGATATGTGTGAATGATATAAAGTACAAGAAAACTATTTGTAATTGATGTTTACATAGAAGACAATGAATATAATTTTCCAACTATGAAACGTCTATTTAAATTGAATATCTGCTTGCATTTTGTAGTGTTATTGTTAATGCTATATTGAACAGTAAATTATCTTAAGATCATATGGAAAATTTTCCGCATTAGTAAAAAAAACTAATTTTTATTATTAACTAAAAGATCAAAGGAAATGTACGATAAAAAGTACTTCTTACGTAGCGAACAATTTCTTCTATTGAATTATATATCATAAAAAAGAAAGACTATCATGCAAGAATTTGCAAAAAATAATTGATTGGATAATTTTAGCAGCTAGTGTATATTAACATTCGTTCAATTTTCAAGATATCAGCAAGAATACGTTTACTTGAATTAAAAATTTCATAATTGAATTTTTCATAAATAACTCGTCTTGAGACTGAATATGGTTATAACTTTAAGATTTTGGTTATATGTAAAAATAAATAAGATTGAGTCATTAAATGTAGAACATTTCGTATTTTCATGAAGGTTTTTATTGTTAATTAGAATTCATTTCATTGAAATGAAATGAGAAAAAGTTAACAGAAAATCTTTTTTACTGAAAGGTATAATTAAAAATCAAGCGCATAATTAGCGAGCAATTTTCATTCCAATACGACGGAAGTACGAATCATTTAGAAAAAAACATCCAGAAAGTAATTTTCTAAATGACTTCTTGTTAATAAAGAACAAATTAACCAAAGATATTGCACGAATATCCGGCATTTTGACTTATCAAACTCGTTTTGTGTGCCTTTAGATAAAAAGTAATCTATTCAATTTTTATTAAAATAGTTTTAACAAGGTCAAAAAATAATAAAAAGATAATTTGAATACTTTACATCTAAAATCTCATTGATTTATTTTTAGTCATCACCATCAAGTTCATCGTCGAAATCATATGGATATTATCGTGCAAATTCCCATCGAAATTATCATACAAATCGACAATCAACAAATTTATCATATCATGGACCACGTAATTATACTGAACAGCAAACAGTACATCGACGAAATCAATCGTGATCAAAAAAAAAGTCAATAGAAAAAGTTTTTCTTTTTCTTTTTTTTTTTTTTACTTCGTATTTTTTTTTTTCTATGAGAATCTAATTATTCATGTAAAACTTATTTAGAATTAATCATGATGAAGAGAAATATTTGTTTTTCTTTTTGAAAGAAAATTAAAAGACGTTTGAAAAAACGAAAAAAAAAAATTTTAAAATATTCTGAATTACACAAAAAAACCATTTTCTCGCTCAGACGTTTTTTTTTCCTTCTCTTAACTTTTCCTGTTTTGGTTTTTTATATTGACAAACACTATATCAATACATGAAACACAAAAATGAAATTATTGTTTGTTTGTTTGTTTGTTTGTTTTCCTTTTGACATTCCCCCCCCATTTAAAATCGACTTTTGTCTTGTCTGTATTATAATGACGATTTATATTGTCGTTTTTCGTTAATAGTATCATTCCTGGTGATGATTCTTAAACACATATATTTCTCAAAAAAAAAACCTTGTTTTTCTGTGTGTCTTTCTCTCTTTTTTTTGTTCCTTTATGTTATTGTATGATATAGCGTGTTCTTTTTTTTTCTGTGTACTTTTTCGTTTTCCTTGTGTGTGTGAAATAAAAGGCAGGCAGAAAAAAAACATTTAGTTATAACAAGAACGGACTGGTCAGGGAGGTTATAGGTACGAAGAAACTTTGCAAAAGTCTATTAACAATTGACTTGTTTCCTGACAATTTCATTTTTTTGCATGAAGAAACGTCTGTGTAATAAAGTTCAAAATTCTTTGAATGTTTGAAGGGTTATGAATATTTATATTATTGCATTTATCTTTTAATAGCAAAGAAAACATTCTACACGCACCAGAAAAAAATGAAAACTAACGTCACGAAGTGTCAACTTTTATCCTTGTTCTTTATCTCTGACATTGAAATGAATGCTGATCGATACAATGGAATCTCAAAAAGAGAAGAAAAAGAACACACAAGTCTTATAAACAACTGAATTTATACTATGTATGTCTTAACAATAACGACGAGATGAACTGACACATCTTTCCTAGCTCGATCTTGTTAAAAAAAAATTTGATGTATATAACGGATATACATCATGATATAGGAAGATCATTTTTAATTCTCTAAAATAAATATAAACAAACATGAAAATATTGTCAAAACAAATTTTTAGATCTCATATTCATCTTGAACTCAGTTTTGTGTCCTATATTTTTATACGAATAAAAACAAATCCATTATAATCTAGTAAAGAAAAACAGTGTAAGGATTAATTTATCACTATTTTTAGTACCATAGATTCAAGTATTTCTTTGTTCATCAATAGAATGAAGCAGATACTAATCTACATTGAATATCTAGAATAACTAATCTTTAATTAATTATTATCAATATTTTATACTTTTATTTATTTAATGAACAATTTAGATATTACAAGAAAAAAAAAGTACGAATTACATCAAAATATATATATATATATGACAAGGTGATAAAGAGAGTTGTCTGTTTTTTTTTTGTTTCGCATATGATTGTAATCATTCGATTATTTAATACATATTATTCAAATGAAGGCACAAATTCAGTATTCACACTTATATCTAACACAAATGGAAAAAACTATGATTGAATGACAAATATATTCAGTTACTTAATTGAAATAAATGTATCATGTATTACATTTCTATATAGCATACATAAACATTATTTACATAGTAATATCAGAGAAAACAGTAGGAAATGATTAAAATAATATATTAGGCTTCTGTATAGTCAGCAAACAAATGAATACTAAAATGGCTTAATAATAAAGATTGAAAAAAAAAACCCTATTAGTGTTTGGTTTTCTATCAAGTCTACACAATGCGAGCCATTATATAAGTATACTACTATCAAAATTTTCAATTTGGTTTAAATGCTCTAATACACATAAGCATATATATATGATTGCTTATTGTTTGTCTTAGATCAAATCCTTTTAAAGGTCATATTGAACTAAGTCCGAGAAGTTCTTATTTCTTATTTTTATCATAAGTAAAAATCTTATTGATACAATTATTTTTCAATATTCTTTTAATATTTATCAAAAACTTTGAATGTGCAAAAAAAAAAAGAAAGAAAAAGCCTAGTAAATTTATTTTGATTATATATATATATAATGTTTAAGTACAAATCAGTTTGATGTATTTCAAGTTCTTCGAGCTTATAAATTACAAGTAATAAAATCTTTTCATAATAGTAAAGCTTTGATTAATAAAAAATATCATGTTCATTTTGTTGACATGTAACAAAAAAAAAATAAGACCTATTTATCTTCTTTTAAAATATCCGTGTAAAAAGAATAAAAGAGTACATTTATAATTTATGAATAACTTCGTTTTTTTTTTTCTTTTAGTAAAAGAAAAATACGAGCTTTCTAGGGAACCAATTTTGACATATTTGATAACCTATTCTATTGTGTCTTGCCCACAAACAGAGCACTCCAGAACATGTGTTAAGAGTCAAACAAAAGTAGACATACATATTATATGTAAAGAGCACATTGATCTTGTCACAAACATACAGACAGATAGCAACATTAGTGATCTGGATGCAACTCATCGCTTTTTCTTAATGACATCATTGAAATTCAGCTGTTGTTGTTGTTGTTGTTTATATAAATAAATTAAATTGAAATTCTTTGTGACTTTTGTAAATTAACATCTGATATATGATTTGTTATTGGATGATTATATTGATTAGGCATCAATGACTTACGTACGAATGCTAGCTTATGATTTTCTAATATTTGATTAAAATAGAGTAAATGTTTAATATTTTGAGGTGATCGACGTAAATGCCAATGCCGTCTTTTACGTTTTTTACAACTATATAAAGAATATCCTGAACAACCGGTTTCTTCGTTAGGATTTTTAGTAAAATCTAATTGTGAATTCGATGATGATAATGACCACCATGAATAAGTTTTTATAGGAATATATGACGATAGTGCTTTTTGTTGTTGAATTAAACTAGGATTTGAACAGATACGATTACGTTGTTGAACACTTATTGATGCACGATGTTCAGCAATAGCAGCCGCTATAAGATCTTCTTCATTTCGACCGAGAACATCTGATATTCCACCAATACCATTTTCTGAATGAAACTGAGCTAGACGAAGTACCAATAAATTTAGTGAAGAAGCCATAATTGCTAGACCAAATAGAATAAACGATATAGTATAAATAAAATATCCCCAACGAGAATAAAGTGAATGACCATTACGTTGTTGATTAGCCAATGGAACAAGATCACCAAAACCTATTGAATAAAATAGAAACAAAAAATATTTTTTTTTTTAAATTAATATAACTATATATCTTTTGATTCTTTTTTTTTTTTTTTTATGTACCAATTGTCCAAAAAGTAACAAGAGAATAATAAATCGATTCAAAATATGACCATTTTTCTTGTTTACAAAAAATAAATGAACCACCAAGTACTAACATTGTTGTCATACCAAATTCCACAGCAATCAATTCAAAGCCGGATACTTTATGACGACGGAAACCGAATAAACGTTTAAGACGTGATAATATAAATGAAATAATAGCATTCAATCGTTCACCAACTGATTGAAACATAATCAAATTGAGAGGTCTATACAAAAAAAAAAAAAAAAAAAAAATGTCTATTATAGATAAATATAAATGCTTACAAATACTTACACTCCAGCAACTGTATAAACCATACAAAATATTTTTCCACCCTCTAAATTTTTATAGAATCAAAAGTTAATTTTGATAAAATAAAAACATATAAATCCTACTTGTTTTTGGTGTTGTATGACCATAACCTACAACACAAAATGTATCAATTATGATGTCGAATTTATCTCATAAAAAAATTTACCTATTAAAGTCACGACTAGAGTTGAAAAGTAGAATGCACCAGGAAATGTCCATTGTTTAGCTGTACCCGTACGTACATGTCGATTTTCAAATATTGCTGTTGTTAAACTATTAAAAACAGTTTCATTTTGAATCGTATCATTTTTATATAAAATACGAGCCATTCTTAATCTAAGTATACCACGCTGATTAGCTTCTTCTCTTGATTCCACTAAAATAAACAATAGAAAATCATTATATAATCGATCTTTTTTCGTTTTTTTAAATAGAATACTTACAAGCATTAAAAACGGCAGCACCAAGCATTAAATAAATAAGCACAATGAACATAAGTGCACATGTGCGTACGTTTTGTGTACCGATAATCATTCGAAATACAATGGCTAATAAGCCTGATAGTGATATATTCTCATGACATTTGATAGAAGATAGTGTGGATTGTTATAATCTAATATTTTATCTTTATCTAGACGACATTGATGTTAATAAAAGTAGAAGTTTTAAAAAGGAATTAAGTTTTGTGGACAATAAATAAATTTTTCTTTTCTTCTTACTTAGCTCGTCTCTTTCGGTTGTGTCATTTCAAATAATGAAAAAGTGCCACTCTATTTCATCATCAACCGTCAAAGCAGCTATACAGACATAGACATAGAGAACAAAAGAGAAAGAAGAACGATGAAGAACAAGAAGAAGAAGACGAGAGAGAAAGAGAAAAGCAGAGAAGACACAGAGCATTTTTCTTCGATTACTTAGAGAAGAGTTGTGACGATAGTGTTGTAAAAAAATAATAATGAAAACACTTTTCTCTCTTACTCATACAATATTCTCTATGTTAATGTTAGCAAGAATGATGTTCGTCTTATTGTGTATGTATGTGCGTGTGTGTGCACTCTTATTATGATATAAACACATAATAAATGACATTTTTGTGTCAATTTAACTGCTCATATTTATTTATATAGAGACTATTCTTTATAATTTGGTATCTGTTGTCATAATCAAACTCTATGCTCAATCAAATATATAAACTGACTATACATTGATCGATTTATATATGAATACGAATATTTATTTATCAAAATGATACAAGTTAAATTTTGAAGGATGATTTTCTTGAATTTCCGTTGTCAGCATCCTGTCTATTTTTGCTTTGTCTCAAGAGTACTTACACAATTTGGTTGTCGTTAGTAAAAGAAAAAAAGACACTAAGTGTCATGTTGTCCATTCTAAATCATAGACCAAAGAATAAGATGCGATAGATAAACATAAGAAAATATATATATATTCACTGTTAATGTATAAGAAAAAAGTATATTTCCATTATGTATACTATCATTCATATGTATATGTATATATATGTGCGCGTTGGCGTGTTTCTAAGTCAGTAATACTTAAAATAGTGAAATAATATTAAAACGATAGAAAAAATTAGATTTTGCATCACCACCTTATCAATGTTCGTAGTCAAACCAATTTTCTTTTTTTATTTCCACTAAGAGAACAAGATGCCAACGACGACGTGCTGAGCATTGTCAAGAGAAAAGAAACAAAAAATTGAATTGTCTCTGCTTCTATCTCTCTTTCTCAGTGTCTTCTTCGACTATCTTATCGTTATTCCTTTCTATGAGCAACTCGACTGCACATAAGAGTTTCTTCTCTCGTCTTTAATAATCGAATTATCAAACGCATCGCAATCGCGTGCCTTAACTTGAATTCATTGATGAGATATACCTGGAGTTTAACTATTCATAGTAATTGTACACTTGAAGATGTCGAAAAAAAATTCATATAATCACACCTTTATATTATTCAACTGTTGTTTTATCATCATTTTAGAAGTCATATGGGAAATGGCTAGGTTTTTTCATCGAAGTCTAGCCTATGAACTTCATATCATTTCCCAATGGAAAGACATGTCGTCCTTATGTATGAAGGAGAATCGATCGACAATGAAATACAAGAAGCACACGTTCGTTTGAGTATGCGTGCTTGATTTTTGCATCTTCTAGTACAATCTAAATCTAGAATTATAATAAAATTGTTTTTTTGTCTATCTATTTGTCTATTTTTTTTTGTCTATGTATTCTAAATCTACATAGGCTTTCATTTAGTCAATCACAAACACGCTCATTTTATAATATTTTCATGTAAGTTGTGTCACACTTCAACTATCGAACAAGAAAAAAAATATTTATTGCATAAAGAATAAGGAAAGATCGGAAAGATCAAATTATGAATGATTAATCGTCATCACCAACAGACAAGAAAAGACGCCAACAAAACTAGTAGCCATTTTTTTCCTTTTTTTCTGTCTTGTTCTCTAACCGAAAGAATCCATCTCACCTAATTGAATTCATCGTGCACATGATTATTCATATCAATAAAAAACAATAACAGCTAGAAGAGATGAACGGTGGGACATACACATGAATGCCTATAGTAAATCTAGCATTTGACAATCTCATTTTTCTTTCTCTTATTTGATATGTCCTTGCAGTTATTAGTAATGAATATATAAAGGCTAATACTAACTTGCAATTCTGATTCTTTCAAGTGGTACGCAAATTCAAGATGGTGCCTATAGAAAATACTTAGTCGAATTTTTCAAATAAGAATTCTAATATAAATAAGATTTCATCATAATAATCATTGAAAAAAAAAAACTAAAACAAGACGAATTTTGATAATATTTGGCGCGCTTGTATATTATCAGATCTAATTTTTAATTAAAATAATCTTCTCCATTTTTCTATTCTCTATTATGATGGACATTATTTCCGTCAATAAAAAACAAAATAATGGTAGTATTAAACGTGTTCATTCAATGACAACACAAAGTATTTCAAAATATACTAAAAAACTAATAAATATTGACGATAAAATAAATGTACATGATTATTTTTTACATGAACGACCATTTACTAATGTAAAAATAATTCTTAATCAACAAACTATATGGTGTGATAAAGCTTCATTATCAGCTGCTTCACCAATATTTCGTGAACTATTTATAAAAAATACTAAAGATGAATCTATATTATTTAATGATATTGATTTGAATGATTTTTTATCAATGCTTGAATTTATTTATCCCATATTTAATCCTGAAATAAATGAAATGAATATTTCATGTCTTATTGAACTATCATATCGATTTCAATATGGTTAGTTCAAATAAATAAATAAAGCATATAATTCTTTTGTATTGTTTTTTTCTAATAAAAATTCTTTAGATATATTGAAACATGCCTGTCAAATATATGTTATGAAATATTTAAGCACGATCCGACGTGTATTTGGTAATACCCATAATTCTGAAGAGGAAGGCGATTGTTTTGTTAGTAATAATAATAATAATGGTAAAAATGAACATAATAAACAACGTGATCTAATGTGAGTCTATTTTAACTACGACATTTAAAAGTATACATAAAACACGTTCAATAATGAACAATGAGAAAGTATATAACATTTGAATTATATCTAGAGAAAAAAAAAAGATGGTTTATTATCAAATTGGAAAATTATCTTTTCTCATATTTCATAATATTATTTGATGTGTTTTGTTGAGATATTCTTGAGATTTTGTAAGCGGGAAAATAAAAGATAGATAGACTTTATCTCTTGATAGAATACATTAAGTTGTATTGTAAATATAATCTTTGTGTGTATTTATAGATCACTCAATAGTAATTCATATAACCTCAAAAGTCTATGTATCAAAACTATTATTTTCTATTCTTTTTGAGTATGATTTCAAAATTATTCTTTCAATATTTTCTTTGAGATTTCAAAATCACAAGGTCAACATTATTTAATTCGAAATCTTTCTTGTCAAACTGACATTCAAGTTCATTACAATATTGAAATATCAATTCTACTAAAATATTCTCTCTTTATGACAGTATGTTCTAATAATTCAGTGCATACTAACTAGACTGAGTCAATGATCAATAAAGTGGAACTATTCATCACTAATGATTTTATTGTATATCATTTTTTTGGTAAAAAAAAACAACAGAATATGTATCTAATTTTTTAAAATGTTATTTGGAATATAACAAAGTATTCGATTTACATCAAGAGCAAAAAAGACAAAAATTCTCATTGTCAGTTATATATAAAATTAGATGCATATTAATTGAATTCTTTGAAGCATTTAATAAATTTAATATCACCGATATTGTTCATGAAAAATCTCATTATAAATAATCTTATATTTTAACTCAATGAACTTTTCATTTTCTATTTATCTTTAAAGATAATAAAAAAAACAAAAACAATCTGATTTATATAATTTATATATATAGTGAATTTCATAATCGAACATGTGTTGATGCTTTTCATATAATAATAAATCTTTGTCGATGGTTAAAAACATACTATTACGACGATAATATGCTTCCAACACACGCAAGTAAATGAATTCAATCAAAATCTTTGTTTCATTGATGATTATTTTCTTGTCGTAGTCATTTCCGTTCTACAACAAATATCAGTCCATTATCTTGAACAAGCTATAACGACAGTTGACATTAATGATGAAATAAAAGTCTATATTTATAAAGAACGAGCTCAATATCTTGAACAAATATATCATGTTAAACATATTGACTGATAAATTCTATATAATAAAAATTATTTGACATTGATTTTTCATCATATAAAATATAGTTGACTTTGAATTGTTGAATAGAATTGATTTATCAAATATTTTAATGACAGGAAAAAGAGACAGAATTTCCTTTTTTTAGTTTTTTTGTTCTCAATAACGGATCACAAGTTCCTTCCTTTTCCGGTCGTTCTATTATCAGCAAACGGAACAAGAAAAGAAGGTACTGATAATGCTGTCTATTTCAATGTTCTATGTGTAATCACGAGAATAGGCCGAGCAAAAAAAAGCCAAGTTAATTTACACAATATAGAAAAAAAAAACGATACACATAAACACACATAGAAAAAGCGATCTATTATTAATAGATCAATATGATGTTGTCATTGAGACACAATGTTCATAAACTACTTCCGATTATTTATTTTATTCAATGATAAAAGAAAATAATATTTCTATTTATAGAAATATAGGTTATAACTTGTAAAATAAAATTCGAGTGACAAAAAAAAAAAAAAGAAATTTATGAAGAAATATCACAAGAAAAATGTAAATATATTAAGGAAATTCGGAATAAATATTATCGTTATTAATTGGTTGATAACTTCGTTTAAAACAATTTTTATATTGAGATATCCAATGTGAGATTTTTTCATCCGAAATTTTTGAACAAAATGATAAATCAAGAAATTCTATATATACACAACGTTTAATTATACATTCAATAGCTTCTTCATGTATTACATTCGAACCAAGTACATCAAGTTGACGTAATTTAAGACAATTTTCACTTATCGCAATTATATCTTCATTACTTATACCTAATTTAAAAAACAAAATAATTATTATCTTATCTTATTTATCTACTTACGTCTACAAGCAGTTAGAAATATTTTAATTAAATTTTGTCCAGCTTGTTGAACTAAATTTTGTATAAAACCTCCTGGTGGATCAGTCCATCCAATATCAATTTCACTTAAATAAGTCATATGTACGACTGAATTTATTTCAACTGGCATATTAATTAGAGAATAAATAATTGTTAAATCTTCTTGTTCATTCATTGGTAAATTTGAAAGTCGTCGTTCTTCTTCTTCAATATCATGTGATAAACCAACAATTGATAAATAACAAGTTTGTGGTAAAATAGGCAAACGCCAAAGATCAATTGAACGAAGATTAAAACAACGAGCAAATAATAATTTAACAATACCAGCAGTATCAATTAAATTTTGACAACTACCTAAAACAAAAAAAATACAACGAAATATTTGTCTTTAGAAGACATTTAAAATGTAAAAACTAGTAAAGAGGAAACTAATTAATTCAAGTGAAAATCTTCGTATGAATCTCAGGGAGATAAACCCTCATTACAAAATAGAAGCTCACTGTGTTCGATCTGATCACGAAACAAACAGGATAAGAAATAGGATAGAGGACTTAAGCATACATATTGTATTATTCTGTTAGATTTCTTCCAGTCATGAATTTATTTCACAACTTTGAAACAAAACAAATATGAACAAATCTTTGGCTGTAAAATGAAACATCTTACAAAGATGAATAATGATCAGTTCGAATTACGTAAATGTTTATCGGATTCGATAAGAAAATTAGTGTAAGAGGATACAATGTCGATTATAAAATCTGAAATATTTATCTGTTAGAAATAAGAGATTCTTGCGTTATAATCATATGTTTACTTTATCTTTCTGTTAAGATAATCTTTTCATTTCTGAATTGTGCAAAAGTTTCTATGAAGAAATCGTTCAGCAAAATCATACCGACTTGTGTCTAATAAAACTAAGATCTATCGTGTATTGTAGATAAATAATTTCGATTTTTTCAATTGTTGAACACTTCTATACTTTTACGCTAATAAAAGTATAGCTACAACACAAAAAAAATTAGTCGTTTGAAGCTAAGAAATGATCGTCGTAATTGATTTTCGATCTGGTATTTTACCTACAGATAGATCTAATAGTTCTTGGCCTATCTCGAAAGTTTTACTTGAAAATCATGTTTCTTTTATTGAGATATTGAATATCTAAAAAAAAAATAGTCGTTTACTACAGGCATGCCTTGAGTGTGCGTGTAAATCTTCTCTTTAATCACATTAGTGTGTTCACACCTAAAATCTGTAACAATGCCAGAATTTGCAATGCTCTCTTACAACAAAAATCAAACAACTAACGAAAGATATTCTTCAATTGATTAATTGCTTGTTAAATCGCGACTATATGCATCATGTAGATCTTATTAAACTACGAAAAATATGCAAAGAGTTTGGTTCCTTAGTTCATTACTGCTGAGATACTAGAATTTTTTTTGCAAAAATGTCATTATTGTGCAACTTTCAGATCTTTTCATTATTCCTATCCTACGGTATAACTATAATAAAAGCATGTTTTTTTTTCACATCGCTCAAATACACAGGTAAATTCGATGTTGGTACTTGAGGATAGTAATGATGAATAGATCTGAAAGTTTCAAAATAAACTATTCTCATTAAACTCGTTCTCTGTGCAAAGGTTCAATTTGAAATTCAGTTTTCCTGGTGTTTCAGACGAAGATCACGGCATTATGTTAAAAACATCGTAAACATTCACATAGTTTAGACTGCGTGTTCTTACATTGCTCAAGTTATTGTCAATCAAGAGGCAAAAATGCTAATAAACCAACATCAAGATTTCATTGAAAAGTCGATAAAGTTCATATTATTTGTTAAAGTATAGCTGACATTATATGTTCACACTATTGAAAAATTTTATTCGAAAGTTTATAGAATAACGACAGAACTCAATATATATTTTACTAAAATGTGGGTTCTTCATAAATCCATAGTGAAATACATGAGAAGACATTGTTCTAATATATGGACTGTAAAAAGTAATCCTAATCGATTGTTTTGTTCACACTATTGACTGTATACTACGGTACTCATACGAATTAGCAGTAGTATTTTAAATTAACCGAGAAGGAAATAATTTCAAAATCGATTTAACTAATAAAAATTGATCTCATAATTGAACATTAAATATTGATAAGGTTGCTCTCAGTTGAAATTTCTATATTATACTATTCAATAGCTTGCAATGTTTGACTTGAAAATTGAAGAGTTATAACTAAAATTATGATTTGTTTTTGTTAATCTTACCTAAATTGATATTTTCTAAATGTTCTTTATTATTATCGATTAATGGTAATAAAGTTCGATAATCAATTTTTGTTCGATAAACATTTAATGTTCGAATATGATGAAGATTTTTTAATGGTATAAAATCAAGATTATTTAAATGTGAACAATTATCTAAATTTAATATTTCTATATTTGGACAATAATCAACAATTGTTTGTATATATTCTCCTGTTAAATATCGACAACAAGCAAGATTAAGTTGAACAAGTTTATTTGAACATATATTTAATAATTGATTAAATGATGAATATTGTATTGATTTTGTCCATGCTAATGAAAGATATTGTGTTTGAATACAATGATCAAGAAAGAAATTTTTAATTGAATCATTTGTAATACCATTCCAATAAGGTTGTAAATTAAGAGAATGAAATTGTAATGGATGAAGACATTGTTGACGTAAATAACGACATGTTGATGAAAATTGTATTAATGAATGTAAATCAAGATAAGAACATATAAGAAAAAGTATATCAAAAGGAAGTTTTATTAAATTATTTTCAAAATTTAATTCAATATTTTCTTCTTGTTTGGAAATAATTTCCTAAAACAAAGAAAATAAAAAAAATAAATGTGTCACTATTTTTTTTTTAATTAGTTTACTAACTGTTGGAAAAGATTGATTAGAATTTAAAATTTGACCACATAATGAAATTGTATCAATTTCTATATAATAATTTGCTGTACAATGATCGAATTCTAGACGAATATGTCGTGTTGGAAATGGAAATTTATTTGTTAAAGGAATTTTTAGAATACGTGGAATACGTGCCGCTGGTGGAAATGTATGACGAGTATAAATTTTTGATATTTGTTCATGATCAGTATTTAAATTTAATGATTGAAGTGCTGAGGTTACAGTATTAATATGATACGGAAATAAATCATTCATTTGTTGACGACCTATATTATTTATTAAAGTATGTTCCAGATTCAAGAATTTTTGTTTTTCGATAGGAAATTACAAAAACAACGACTTTAGGAGCTTTCGTGAGATTGTTATATCTTACGAGGGAAGGTCTCCAAGTGTGAGTCTCCGTTTCGAATCGGATATTTGTTATTTTGTAGAGCTCAATGAGTACAGTACCTGCGTATAAAGGATTTCTGCCCATGGTGAACTTTTCAGGAACAACGAGGTTCCATACCTTCTGAAAAATCAGCATAAGACTCTTAACTGAAGGCTTGAATTTTAATATTGTAAGGACAAAAC